ACTGACAAACATTCGTCTATATGTGTAAACAATTGATGTCACACACTTTACTTGGACTGACAAACATTCGTCTATATGTGTAAACAATTGATGTCACACATTTTACTGGGACTGACAAACATTCGCCTATATCTGTAAACAATTGATGTCCCATACTTTACTGGGACTGACAAACATTCGTCTATATGTGTAAACAATTGATGTCACACATTTTACTGGGACTGACAAACATTCGTCTATATNCATTTTACTGGGACTGACAAACATTCTTCTATATCTGTAAACAATTGATGTCCCATACTTTACTGGGACTGACAAACATTCGTCTATATCTGTAAACAATTGATGTCCCATACTTTACTGGGACTGACACTATCTATATTTACCACTGTGTGGCATTAACACCTATGACCCGTACATAGTAAATTACAGCCCAAGTTGTCGGATTCCCGAAAACCTAAACATCTTTCCTTTCGAGACGTGTTTTGTTAATTTCATATATTACAAATCAACAATAACTTCATGACTAAAAAACAAACCATGAAATTATTATATTTTCTAACAAGATCAGGTATATTTTACGAGCTGTTCCTAAGATTGTTATATGTTTTTTAAGAACAGTCAAGAATTAGCTGTGTTTCCCACCGCTTTAAAATTGAGTGATAGGAAGCACATCAATTGGCTATTAACGAGGAATTCACCAATATCAAAATCTAGCAATCTACTGTTCAGTTGAAATACGTTTGACATTTCTTTGCTTTCTGTAACAAGAATATTGTTATTCTTATTTCGCAGGTAATTCAGAAAAATATTTTACGTTCTTTCAGCCGCTGCAAAACTATTTTCAATTTCCAAGGGATCGAAAATACTTTCATAATTATGTTTGTTAACCACAAATGCAAGTCTGTTGTGCATAACAAAAGGATACTTGTATTTAATGGTATACTGTACTGTTTCGAGAAAAACTAGTCTACAATCTTTTAACACATCACTTATTAGTAAAATGTAAAAAAGTGAAGTGTATGAAAATTTCGGCCAGCTGATTGATTAGACAATCTAACTTTGAAGATCGAACATTCAAGGTATATCTGCAACACGCACATGTATTTGCTGATGTAAATAGCTGTACTTGAATACCTGATTGTTAAGTGTACGCAGTAAGTATGTATTTGTTTGAAATAAAATATTCTAACTGTGATATGTTTCTGTAGCTTTTTCAACACACATTTTACGTGGTTGTTTATAAACTATCTAACCAAATATACAGTAAAGAACTGATATTCTGCAGTAAATAAATAATAGTCAGCTCCACAGTAACGCGGTGTCAGTTTCTAAACCTACAACATAGAACGAACCGGCTCCTGTCTTAGCCTACAACATAGAACGAACCGGCCCCTGTTTGCAAATAATCACATTTCGTCAAAGAAGACTGAGTGTATTTTCCCGACGTGCATAGTCTTTACTGTGGTGGCTAATTACGGCCATTGTGACCCTTTCCGTGCTTGTTCGCTTCGTCGACACGACAAAACGAATCGGTCACCATACTTAACTGAACCTTATCTACTGAATATGGTAATACCTGTGCAGTTTGTGCCGTCCTTCATCAGGTAGAATCCGTCTGGACAGATACAGGTGAAGCTGCCCACGTCGTTCTGGCATTCATACTCACAATCGGCTACCAGGCACTCGTCCACGTCTGTAATGGAACGTAAACATGGTATGACGTCATCATTCTGATATAAGTACGGCATATGATGAAAGCTCGGATGCTCATAAGCTGACTAAATGTGTACTGAGAAGTTACCCTATCCATTCCTTGTAATAGCATTATATCCTTCGGATAAGCTTCATTAGTTTGGTATAAAAAAGGCTAAGTTCGTTTTGAACACAATTAGGAATTGAAAACTTCTTTTGCGAGCTTTTGAAAACATTTGTTTCCTTTTTCAAGCAAAGAGTGTAAATGACCAGTCTCTAGACTCTCAACCGCTTAAAACAACTCGCTAAGCAACAGCGTGCCGAATCAGTCAAGACAGCTGTCAAAAGTCATGGAGACAATTCACCCGACAGCACTCTAATTATACAGGCAGTCAGGGGGACGGGTAATATGTTTACCCATTCCGCCCCTTAGTGAAGGTTAACATGGAATGAAAAGTAAATGAAATGCAAATGGCCTGAAGAAAAAACCCCGTACGAACATGGTCGCTATTCCATACATAAAAAGGTTGTCTGAAGAACTTTCAAGAGTGTTGCGTAAACATCACTTTTGCACACCCATGTGACCACACTACACCATCAAACAACCATTAGTTCATCCGAAAGACAAATTGCAGAAGGAAGACGAAGCAGTGGTGGTTTACCAAATACCGTGTAACAGCTGCAACCTTACATAAATCGGGGAAACTGGCCGGAAATTTGGGACACGCCTAAATAAACACCAGAAAGACGTCGAAGCAATGAAACAGCAAGTATTCACTAGAAATAAAGGGAGTCATCGGAGATACAATACAATAAATCAGCCATTACAGACCATGCTAACACACATAACCAATTAATAGTCTGGAACAACTGGAAAGGGTTGGAAAGGGAGGACAACAGGAAAGTCAGGAATATCAAAGAATCCATCTGGGTTAGGCGGGAAGGGGATTCGGTGAACAGAGACAAGGTGCCGCCAGTTGAGTCATCTTTCTAACCCCATTTTAACATCCACTGAGGGGTGGAGTGGGTAAACGTGTTACCCGTCCCCCTGACTGCCTGCAGTACGAGGATGCCATTGGGCAAAAGCTCTCTATATGAGTTTTGACTTATTTTCAGCGGTTAAGTGTCGAGACACTGGTTATTGAAACTCTTTGCTTGACAAATAACACCGACGTTATCGAAAGCTCGCAAAATATGTTTTCAATTCCTGTTTGTGTTTCAAAACAACTTTACCATTATACTCTTTTGCTTCTTTTTGTCATAAGAGGGGTTGTCATCAGCCAATAATAATATGGCCATCCTTTGTGCTGTTTTACTAAAACTTGTATGTGTTCTACTCATTATCAATTGTTCAGTATACAATAACAAATATTTACTTCTGTCGATGACACTTTCCTGTAAACTATAATACCAGGGTAAAATAGTGTTATTATCATAAGGACGAAATCTTACGCACTATCACATCATAACCAACACCCTGGGACCAACATGTAATGGAAACAAATAGGTGTCTGCAATTCTATAGATTTCACTACAATCTGCTGCTTGCGGTGCTCCCATTTTTTACATGACAACATGGCCGTTGTTAGAATAACTGCTCGTGTTGAAGAAAAACAACATTTCCCTAAACAACAAAGTCATAGTCAAAGGTGATCCCTCAATAGCTAGGTGGCTACAAGTCCGTTTTTGAGGCCCCGTGATTTCTAGATGTTCCCTTTCTTACTTTGTACATAGGCTTTTGCTTTATAACCGACGAGGCAACTAGCATGAACGACTGATCGAAAGTAAGTGTTTCGAGCACCTAATGGGGTAGGAGTAAATCTAGTCAGAAAAATTCGAAATGAGATAGACAAAGGAAACATATTGCACAACTTTTGGTGGGAACATGTGAAATCTACATACATTGTTATATATCTAAAATAAATACACAAAGAAACCATGTGTGACTATAACAAAGAAAGTCTATGAGGTAATTGTGAAAAAAAGGGAAATGCATGCGTAAAATTGCATTTTATAAATCATTTCAACCTTTACCTATGTTTCCTTTTCTGAATACCGAGTTATGACCCTTCCACACGAGGAATATGTAAATGTCATATCTTTAAATTCAACATTAAGCATCAATAGTTCTGTTGCTAGTTTTAGAACATATCAGTTTGTTTTGTCGGCTACATTTTACCTGCATAAAATTTCATTATCAAAATATTTTATTTAAAGTTGATTATTTTATCTTGAGAAAAAAACACCAAAGAAAACTTCAGTCTTTGAAGTTCACAATTATCTAATGAAGGGACACAATCGAAAATAACCAAGAAAAATGCAAAAAATACTTTGCCTTTGATATCTGTTCAAAACAAAATGACGCATTAATCAGCAATTACCCGAATTTGATGATTCTGATTGTCTAGATTAATGTAATGTTGTGAATAACCTAGTGTGAAAATATTTATTCATAGGAAATTATTAAGGGATTTAATCATTGATTTTATTTGCATAAATGCATTATTTGTTTTTTGGCTTGATATGTTAGGCAAAAGACTCGAAAAACAGAAGAAATACAGTCTATAACACACCCAACATTTGTTATTATTAGTTGATGCATCCATGAAAAAGCATTGCAGCTCAAAACACGATTAATATTTAGTATAAAGCTACGCGTTAGATAAACGGAACACTCTCCGACACACGTAACCTAGACGAATCATTTTCTCTACGGGACTCCCGGCATAGCCAGGTAGACATTGACACTCTTCCAGGGAGTTACCTGCCCCTGGTAATTACCTAGACAAGGAATATTCTCTGTGGGACTCCCGACATAGCCAGGTAGACATTGACAGTCCTCCAGAGAGTTACCTGCCCCTGGTAATTACCTAGACAAGGAATATTCTCTGTTGGACTCCCGGCATAGCCAGGTAGACATTGACAGTCCTCCAGAGAGTTACCTACCCCTGGTAATTACCTAGACAACGCATTTTCTCTGCGGGACTCCCGGTATAACTGGATAGACATTGACACTCTCCCAGGGAGTTACCTGCCCCTGGTAATTACTTAGACAAGGAATATTCTCTGTGCGACTCCCGACATAGTCGAGTAGACATTGACAGTCCTCCAGGGAGTTACCTGCCCCTGGTAATGACCTAGACAACGCATTTTCTCTGCGGGACTCCCGGTATAACTGGATAGACATTGACAGTCCTCCAGGGAGTTACCTGCCCCTGGTAATTACCTAGACAATGCATTTTCTCTGCGGGACTCCCGGTATAACTGGATAGACATTGACAGTCCTCCAGAGAGTTACCTACCCCTGGTAATTACCTAGACAAGGAATATTCTCTGTGGGACTCCCGACATAGTCGAGTAGACATTGACAGTCCTCCAGAGAGTTAGCTACCCCTGGTAATTACCTAGACAGGGTTTTTTTTCCGCGGGACTCCCGACATATCCAGGCAGACATTGACAGTCATATAGCGAGTTACATGCCCTTGGTAAAATTTTAACAACAAACGTTACCTAGACAGGGAATTTTCTCTGCGGGACTCCCGAGGTAGCCAGGCAGACATTGACAGTCCTCCAGAGAGTTAGCTGCTCCTGGTAAGGCCCTCACTATTCGTGAGTTATTAGGACAGTCCACACACAGTTTCTCCTCCTCAATCATATACTGGTCGTCTCTGCATTCTAATAGTTGACCCACATATAGACATTAACAACAAGTGTAGAAATATATGACATTATTTATGCTAGCATTTCATATGAAAAAAATATAAAATGATACAAGACTATGTAAGGAAAGTTACACATGGTGGTACATTGGAACAGCTTCAGCTTGAAACGGGCTGAATTATCACTGGCATTTAAATAAAAAATGAAAATCTATCGGACAAAAAATCGTAATATATTTCAAATAATCCTCAATACTCCAGGGGTTACGCTCATTTCCACTCTCTGCACCTCTGGAATGGAATACTAAAGAAGGCATGCGGCTAGCTATTTGATTGGTACCATTGTATAAAAGAAACCCTGACCAATCGCTAGGCCGATACATGCCCTTTAAAGTTTACAAAGGAGCGACACCCGACTTCAAAGAGAAGCAGAGAGCGAAAGTGAGCGTAACTCCTGGAGTATCGAGGATGATTTTAACTTCACAGTAAATATAGTTCACTTATCTAAGTAGCTTTCATTATCCTGAAATTGATTATTACAATGTTAGAAATGGTGCTCAGACACGCCGGTACATTCTAACACACTTGGCTCTTATAGTTGAACCAATGTAATATGTTAACACACCCGTACAGTTACGTTGGTTTCCGTGAACCACGTATCCATGCCAGTGGCACCAGCAGTAGAAGGACCCTATGGTATTCACGCAGTCGTTCTCACAACCCGGGGCGTTGTCAATACACTCGTCCACGTCTACAAAAAATACAAAAATAAACTTACAATCCTTCCTTAAGGTACACAGTTACCTTCCCTATCTCCCTGTCTCTAGTTACACAGCTATCTTTCATTTCCATATTTGCTCAGCTACCCCCTTCTTAATGTACACATATACCAACTCTACCTTCCGTTACACAGTATCCTTCCCTTATTTTCTGTATTTTATTTTGTTTCCTCGCTTTTCATTTGAAATTTTCGATGTCAAAAAACCGTCTTTTGATGCAGAAAATCATCAGCGACTGTATACAGAGTAGATATACCAGCTTATAGTATGGCTATTTAAACACATACGTCCATGTACCGTGTTGTATGTCAGTACATCAAATATGGACATGCTTATGTCCCTTTGTATACAAACTATCGTGAACAGTACTACGCGTCACAGTTACGTACCTGTACAGTTCTGGCCACCAGAATCGATCTCAAATCCAGGTTCCTTGCAGTCACAGTAGAAGGAACTGACGGTGTTCACGCATGCGTCCTCACATCCTCCATTTCCCATTTTGCACTCATCTATGTCTGAATTACACATTCGTTAAAGGTTCATAATCACCTGAAATCCATCTCTCACATAACATTTCAACTACGCATAACAATATCTTTAGATACGTAATAGGTATGAAAACAATTCCCACACGAAACATTTATATATTGATGACTCTCATTTATATAACCCCAATTTCCTAGGTAACAATTTACTTCACACTCGACAGAGCAATTGGTTATCATTGAGGTCAAGGTACATTGGTCCCTAATTACTTGTAGGGGATATATTTTGTATCTGGAAATCATTGTATGTGCGATACTCACCTTCACATTTGGTGCGGTCCTTATCCGGCCGGAAGCCATCATCACACTTACAGACGAAGGAGCCCAGGCTATTGACGCAGTGACCGTTGTTACAGATCTTCTTCCCGTATAACACACACTCGTCAACGTCTACATCGGAATTACAAATAAAACAACAAGAAAACATAAAACTCATAATAACATGTGTGTTGTTGTCATCAATCGCTTCCACAGTATCTTAGATTTTGACTCGATATCTATCAACTCGTGGACAAGGAGACACATTAGAACATAACATTCCAATACAAAGTGGCTATTCCTCCTTATCAACTGGTGGACAAGGAGACACATTAGAACATAACATTCCAATACAAAGTGGCTATTCCTCCTAAACAACTCGTGGACAAGGATACACATTAGAACATAACATTCCAATACAAAGTGGCTATTCCTCCTAAACAACTCGTGGACAAGGAGACACATTAGAACATAACATTCCAATACAAAGTGGCTATTCCTCCTAAACAACTCGTGGACAAGGAGACACATTAGAACATAACATTCCAATACAAAGTGGCTATTCCTCCTAAACAACTCGTGGACAAGGAGACACATTAGAACATAACATTCCAATACAAAGTGGCTATTCCTCCTAAACAACTCGTGGACAAGGAGACACATTAGAACATAACATTCCAATACAAAGTGGCTATTCCTCCTAAACAACTCGTGGACAAGGAGACACATTAGAACATAACATTCCAATACAAAGTGGCTATTCCTCCTAAACAACTCGTGGACAAGGAGACACATTAGAACATAACATTCCAATACAAAGTGGCTATTCCTCCTAAACAACTCGTGGACAAGGAGACACATTAGAACATAACATTCCAATACAAAGTGGCTATTCCTCCTAAACAACTCGTGGACAAGGAGACACATTAGAACATAACATTCCAATACAAAGTGGCTATTCCTCCTAAACAACTCGTGGACAAGGAGACACATTAGAACATAACATTCCAATACAAAGTGGCTATTCCTCCTAAACAACTCGTGGACAAGGAGACACATTAGAACATAACATTCCAATACAAAGTGGCTATTCCTCCTAAACAACTCGTGGACAAGGAGACACATTAGAACATAACATTCCAATACAAAGTGGCTATTCCTCCTAAACAACTCGTGGACAAGGAGACACATTAGAACATAACATTCCAATACAAAGTGGCTATTCCTCCTAAACAACTCGTGGACAAGGAGACACATTAGAACATAACATTCCAATACAAAGTGGCTATTCCTCCTAAACAACTCGTGGACAAGGAGACACATTAGAACATAACATTCCAATACAAAGTGGCTATTCCTCCTAAACAACTCGTGGACAAGGAGACACATTAGAACATAACATTCCAATACAAAGTGGCTATTCCTCCTAAACAACTCGTGGACAAGGAGACACATTAGAACATAACATTCCAATACAAAGTGGCTATTCCTCCTAAACAACTCGTGGACAAGGAGACACATTAGAACATAACATTCCAATACAAAGTGGCTATTCCTCCTAAACAACTCGTGGACAAGGAGACACATTAGAACATAACATTCCAATACAAAGTGGCTATTCCTCCTAAACAACTCGTGGACAAGGAGACACATTAGAACATAACATTCCAATACAAAGTGGCTATTCCTCCTAAACAACTCCACCCTTCATTTCCTTTTGTACCTCATACTGTAGAATCGAAATCTCATATCGAAATTTCGTCTTGGCTATCGCGAAAAAATAAACTGTAAAAAACCCCATCTTGAATTCGGCCTTACTGAACAAATCAAAACCTATTGATGATTGAAACCTCGTTAATCAGGTCAGTGCCATTTTATTTTATATAATATAGTGTACACCCGAAATGGACAGACCTATTTTCTAATCCCGATGTTAAGAATCTACGGAGCAACATACTTGATCGTGGAAGTAACGGACATACAGATAACCCGGTTATCATCAAAGTCTCTAATACGGGGTTGTACGAAGTAAAGTTAAATCAATTATAGGCTGGGGAGGGGCAGGAGAGGTTATGTATGCAATTCATCTAAGTTCCTAGTTTTTCATTGGCTAGCTAATCAGTTTGTGTTGCAACTAGGGATACTATTTTCGCGGTAAAAACTCATTAAAACAAATGCGTACCGTACGCATAAACATACCAACATGTACAATTGTACTATCCATGTTAACAAACACATACTAATACTACCTAATAATAAATACACTCAAAATCTTTATAATAAAACACATTAACCTTCCTAATGAAATCCTTAGCTTAGTTTCAATGTACATAGATAAAACGGACTTATACATGTATGAATGAAAACATAAACTTTGTTAGTTATTAATATCATATTCAACATGTTTTATGTAGCATGTACTGAAACATGTGCTAATCGTGATGATGAAAGATGACATACCGGTATACTTCCCACGATGAGAAAATCCACTTACTAACCGTGTTGATAAAGACATACTAACCGTGCTGATAAAGACATACTAACCGTGTTGATAAAGACATACTAACCGTGTTGATAAAGACATACTAACGGTGTTGATAAAGACATACTAACGGTGTTGATAAAGATATACTAACCGTGTTGATAAAGAAATACTAACCGTGTTGATAAAGACATACTAACCGTGTTGATAAAGACATACTAACCGTGGTGATAAATACATACTAACCGTGCTGATAAAGACATACTAACGGTGTTGATAAAGACATACTAACCGTGTTAATAAAGAAATATTTACCGTGTTGATAAAGACATACTAACGGTGTTGATAAAGACATACTAACGGTGTTGATAAAGACATACGAACCGTGTTGATAAAGACATACTTACCGTGTTGATAAAGACATACTAACCGTGTTAATAAAGATATACTAACCGTGTTAATAACGACATACCAATGGTGTTGATAAAGACATACGAACCGTGGTGATAAAGACATACTTACCGTGTTGATAAAGACATACTAACCGTGTTGATAAATCCATACTAACCGTGCTGATAAAGACATACTAACGGCGTTGATAAAGACATACTAACCGTGTTGATAAAGACATACTAACCGTGTTAATAAAGACATACTAACCGTGTTAATAACGACATACCAATCGTGTTGATAAAGACATACGAACCGTGGTGATAAAGACATACTTACCGTGTTGATAAAGACATACTAACCGTGCTGATAAAGACATACTAACCGTGCTGATAAAGAAATACTAACCGTGGTGATAAAGACATACTAACCGTGTTGATAAAGACATACTAACCGTGTTAATAAAGACATACTAACCGTG